AGAACCACAAGCGGAAAAATCCAAAAGCTGAAACATAACTTTTTAGTTACAGCTACTAGTTGCATAGTCTTAGAAATAAAGCACAAAGAAATAACATGAAATAGCAGCTGAAGGTTCCTCCTTCAGAAGAAAATGCTGTAACTGATATATCCTGGAAGATTCCTATGTCCTTGGGCAGGGTTACCCTATTTTTGATAAGCCAAAAATATATGATGTAGTCCTAGAAGCCTTAAAAGCAGCCCAACTCTCCAAAGGCATAATGGTATAACAGTATGATGCTGAAGTTGATTAACCTTTCCCACAGTTCCCAGAACTCCACCATTCTCATCACCAGAACCCTTCCTAAAATTCCCAGCTCCAAGCTCTTCAGTCTATCTCTGCTCTTCCTGCAGGTCCAAGAACCCAGTCTTGCACCAGATGACACTGTCCCACCTGTCTTCCTGTTTCTGCCAACATCCCACCTGTTAAGCCCCAAACCTCAAGGTACCTCTGCCACTCAGATTCCCTCTGCCCCTTGTCTTCTATTCTGGTTCACACTGCTGCATCTTATTTAAGCTCTACTGCCCCTTAAACTTCCAGTGGCTGCTGGCTGGCCACCTTTTACCTCTCTCACTGCCTACTTCAGTAAGGCAGGTTGACTTCCATGTCTTCAACTGTTCCTCATCACTGGTCATTCCTTCTCTGTTCTCTAATTTTTTGGCAGATGTGTGAGAATGGGTAGGAGATGTCTTGATTCTACCTTTGATTTTACCTCATCTACTCATTACGTCATCCCACAAATCAAAATACCACTCAGGTACCCAGGGTACAAGCTTTGTTTACTGAAACCATAGTAAGACACACAGTGGAGAGGAAATAAAGTGGACGTACCTATCCGTTTGCTCTCATTTACACTGCAAGAACTGGGCTGGGCAGGGAAGAGAAAGAATACAAAACACACTTTAAGCCAGTCTGCTTTTTGCTTGCCAGCCGAATTCTCAATTGACTCGGATCCTGATTAGCATGACACCATACAGGCAAACATCAGAGCACAGGTGAGATAGGAGAACACGGAGTCAGGAATATTAGGGTAATATGGCTTCTACCCCGGCTTCTTTAAGTACTAGGGACTGCTGTGCAGCATTTTTCAGTTGAAACATCGTGTTGCCACAACCTTCTTGCTCTGTGACTTCATATACTTGATATAGCAATCAGTGGATCCTTTCCAGACAGGAAAAGCATGAAGGGAAAATGAATTCAGCAACTCTTTGTCTGATCACCTGAGACATGAGAGTGCTGTATCATTCCTGTCCTTGGACAAAAACGTAATCTTCATACATGTGTGCCACACAGATTTTGAAAAAAATGATTTGTTTTTATTATTTCACAGGTGGAAAAAGAAAGTAAGTTGTTTATTTTCAGATATTTAAAAAGTCCATCTTCTTACACATTTGCACAATACTGCATGTTTTGCAGAGTCTCTTCTCATATATAAACAGCTGGGTTTCTTTTTAAAATAAAGGAAATACAAATACTTCTATTAATACTGATTTTCATACTATTCCTTTAAAGGGATTTTAAATCCTAAGGTTTACCTCTATGATTAAATTGTCTTTCTGGAACGTTCCTTCTTTGGAAAATATGTCCTGATGGAAAAGGCTAGACTGAATAACTTTAGCTAGCCAAATGTTACCTGTAAGTCAGAAACATTCTCAAGGTACTCACAACATTTTAAGTATCTTTGTATGAGGCCTCCTCAGGTTATTTTACATACCTTTGGCATGCTGACAACTAAATGACCAGTTGTTTGGGATCTTTTAGCAGAGCTGCTGTCTGGCTTTACTTCCTCAGGGAGCACAAGCTGAAATGCCTATAGGAAAATATGGAACTGAAGTATATAATGCTAAAATATATACATTTTTTATTTGATTTTTACCTGGACAGAATATATGCAGAAATATCACTGTCACATCCCTTAATCTTAAGGACAGTGTAGGTCTAAATCCTCTCAGTTTTTATGTAGTATTACCAATCCTAATAAATGATTAGCATGCTAAGCAGCTTTTACTTACAAGTAAAGTCATATGTATATTCCTGAATTGCTGTCATTCCTGAAGAGACATTTCTAAAGAAGGTTATAAAATGATGCTTGACTTATATTAGCAATTAAATGAGAAAGATTATCCAGCCTATTTCAGACATAAAGTAATTCTGAAGTTTTGTTTATGCAGTTGGTACAGCCAAAAAGTAGGGATTTTGGTTTACTGTTTAAGTACTTCGAATTTTTATAAAAAATGATGATAAAATTAAAACCACTGAGAAGAGAGAAGACTGGAATGGCATTTTAAATGCCCTTTCAAAAGAATATACATTGATTTGTTTCTGTCAGCTATAAATTCCAGATTGCGAAATTACTAAATTCTAGCCTAGAGCAACTAGAAAGCTCTCTTCTTCAGTGAATTATGGTACACTGTGTGGGGGGAATAAGAAGAGAAAAGGAGAGAAAGAGAGAGTGAAATTTCATTTCAGGCTTTGCCCGTCTTCTGGTTAGGACTTCCACAGTTTATGTGTGGTCCAAAATAATGCAATTATGAACAAACATTTTTTCTGCGTAGGTGGACATGGTTGGTAATTCATAAAAGGCAGATCCAGAGTCCACTGAATAACTATGGTAAGCATTAACTCTTGATTTGAAATGAATGTAGTAAGAAAACACTAACCTTTCCCTTCACCAGTACTCGTATGTAAGTTGGCTGGACATCAACATCAAGCAGAGATGTGTCCAAATGTCTTCAGAATGAGATATAAATAAATGAATCTCTTAAATGATGATTTCACAGCTTATACAACACAAACGTTAATTTCAGTTATTAAGTTCTGTGAAATATTATTAGGATTTAATGTCTTTGGAAAAGAAACATGATCTTCCTGTGTGTTCACAGAACGTCAATTAAAATCATGTCTAAATTCTGTCAAGTCCACCACATCAGCTACTGTATAACTGCAAGAATTCAAAATCTTTGTGGAAAATGAAAAGGTCTTTCTTCTATTAGTTTAGTGCTTTACATTAATATGAAAATTAATTTGGTATTTAAAATTGTCAAAGTATTTTACTACTTTTCTTTCTGAAAGCTTAACTAGTAAATTTATAATAAGTTCCTTTTTTTGCACAGAATTTGCTGGAAAACAATGAACAGAAATACTTTACACTCCCAGAAAACATAGTAATTTCAAATTTCAGTACTGTCAAACAAAATTTATGACCTGTAAAAGCTCCACTTTAACATCTGCTCTTCATCATGTGACACACACACTCACATTCCTGTAACCTACTATTGAATACGCAAGTATGTATTCCCTATTTCCCTTCTTTTATAAAGTTCCTTCTCAGGTGAATTTTTCAAACTTTTTAGTTTGCATTTCTTACAAGTAAGAACAGAATATTACAACATATACAACATTTTATTGCACCTGAACAGATTTTTTGAGGCTCCAAAAAAACCTAATTCTTATAATTCAGAAACACGGAGCAGGCCTCTTTTGAAGGAAATTAATGAGCTTTAAGGGAAGAACACCTGGTATGAATAGTGGTTTTGTGCTATAAAAGTAGTTCAGGCTTTACTCTAACAAGTTCCTATTATAGGTAAATAAATTTCTGGGTTTCCAACCCTTTCCTGAAGCGTGGGCAAGGCCACTGTACTGCTTAGTAGTATATACTAGCAAATAGTTACCAGGTTTCCTTGTCATATTTTGGGCTGGTTCAACCAAAGTTCTTCCAGGCAATGCCCTGGCACAGTTCAGTAAATAGCATGGGCTGTGGACTCTTTCCAGTAAGCAAGGAAAGTAGGACAAGGCTAACCCACTCTGTCTAGGGGAGGAGAAGAATTTAACTGGAAGGACATGAACTGTACTGGAGCACTTCTAGGGCCAGAGAACGGGCAAAAACCCCATTCCCTAAAACCCTAATATGCAAACAAAGAACGGAAAATATTTTACATATGTGTAAAAGCACAAGTGTGGAGGAAACCTGCCTGCCGACTGCAGAAAACATCAATTCCAAAAAGGACTATTAGACACAGTCCTCATTCAGGAGTAACAGAACAGTCTGAAAGGCCCTTGGTTATTCCACGTCATTTCTTTGTCACAGACTTCAAGATTGATTCGATTACCCCCTATGTTATTTGCTTTCTTCTTGAAAAGTCCCAATTACAGAGAGGAGTATGTTTGAAACACTGTTTATTAGAACTTAAGAATGGCAAAAACTAAAAGGAAAAGAAATACTGACCTGTAAACAGCAAGATCCAAGATGATCTGGTTGTTTTCTTCATCATCTTTCAAAGAGAAATGAAGCCTAATAATAATGACAAGAAACACCTTCAGAATAATTACAATTGGAGTGAATAACCAAACATTACAGCACAATTCAAATTCAACTGCTAGCAATTTTAGATGAATACAAATACAATGTAGACAATACGTCACGAGATCATCTTACAAACAGTTGCAATTTTCCTCATGAACAAAAAAAACCCCTGACATTTGAACCAGAGTAATTCTAACATTTATTTTCTGTTCTCCATACCCAACCCACAAGAAACTAACAAAAAAATACTGCTGAAGGTCAGTTAAAATTAAGATCAGTCCGTCGATGCAGAAAGAGAGACATCTGCTGGTGAAATCTGTCTGCTTTATCAACATCTACATAGAAAAAATAGTTCATTAAAAGCCTGGAACTTGGTAATTCTAACCTTATCATATGTTAAAAAAAAAAAAAAAAATCTTTTTTCATAGCAAGAAGTATAATTACAACAGGCAGTAAAAAGTGTATGGTCATACAAATATGTGTTGATTAAATACTGCTGTCACTGCACATACAACTTACTGGAAAAGAAATATTTAAAACACTGATGAGGTTTATAATGAAGTCTGATAGAAATTGATTAATTTGCCTAAAGTATAATTATCTGCCTGTGCATTTCCAAAGCAAAACATGATTTGCACAATATCATTGATTCTACAAGCTTTATAATGTTTGTTGAAAATGAGACTGTAGATTGTACTAGATGTGTGTTTGTGATCTTCTGGTTGAGTTCTTAAAATTGTGAAAGAATCTTACCAGTTATAAATTGAAAACAACATCTATTACTGCAACTGTGAGGAGATCTAGTCTAGACTTACAAGTTCTGCTCATATACTCAAACATTTCCCATGTATTAAAGTAGAGAAAAAAAAAACCAAAATAAAACCCCACTATAAATGAGAAGGTCTTTATAAATTAGTTATTAGTATAAAATGAGAGGGTTTTGCTTAATGTAATTTATCAGGAATATTTCAGTGACATTAAAATACTTAGATACTTTTGGTTCAGGTAACAGAAAGAAGCTCAAATGTTAACAGTTTAGAAGATACATATTTTCAGCAATAAAAATATTTGCCAGATATACATTTTAACTCTTTGGCCTCCTGTATTCTAACACAGTCAACTTGTAAGAAATCTTATGGAGCTTTTAGTTTATGGGTATTTTTTAATGGAAAACTGCAAAGGGTACAAAACAGCTTTGTTTCCCTTTCATGTTTTTTCTCTTATTGCATCACGGATTTTGAGAATTCACTAAAACATGAAGGGTGAAAGAAAGAAAAGAATTGTAAAATTTTCTAGGGGGATGCTTAATCAGAGTTGTTGTCAGCAGCATGCAGCCATTCCTCTTGCTAACCTTCCAAAAGAGCATCAGAGAAGCTTGGTCATTGCTATGGACGTTAGACTTTTGCATTGAAGCAAAAACTTTGGAGAATACCATCTGTCAGTTTGTGTCTCTTTATTTATGTCTCTCCAATACACTGCCAGATTGCACTGAAGAGCTGTGATATTCTTGTTGAAGCCACGACAAAAACTGCTCGTTGATCTGGCTTTACGTGGGCACATCCACAGACTAAATTCACATCCAGAAAACTTGGGTGACACAAGCAGGACTGCTGCTAACAGTGAACTTTAGGAGACTGTATTTCTTCTAAAAAGATATCTAGAGCTTTATTCCAAATCTCTCTGTTTTTTAGAGGCATAATCAAGATCTATTGACACAAGATTTAAAATATTTTAACTTGCCTTCTTTGAACCAGAAAATTATTAGGGTTTTTTTTCAGTCAACATATTTTTACCAAAAAAAATACATCGCTACCATGGTAAGTATCTTCTGGTACAGACAGAAAAAACACGAGCTTTTCTGCCACTACCTTTAATTTTCCCTGTACCACTGAAAATTACACACTGATATTATAGTGTAGGTTTTCAAATTCTTTGAATTTGCATGGATATATCAGTTTCCAACATTTAGAAAGCATTCTTCATGCTAACAATAAGCATGTTCTTAGCTTTGATTTTCCACCTATATCAGTCTTAAGATGGAAAAACTTGTTCAGGGGACAGCAGACAGGTAAGCAGCCCTTAGTAGGCCACTTTTTGATCACATAGCTCCTGTAGGAGGCTCTTTGGGGAGCCATTTATAAGGAAACAATGTTTTCAGTCTCTGTCTCCTGTTTTCCCTTAGAAAAGGAAGGCTTGGTTCAAGTGAAACCAATAGTAACACATGGCTGATACCCCTGAATACTCATCAAACATCTGTCATCAGAGGACAGGATGATTTTATCCAAAAATATTACTTGGACGTATTTTTCCACATTTAAAGCAGCTACTCATAAACGTTTCTCTTCAATAGTCAAACCGGTTAAACTTTTTCCGCTATTAGCAAGATGCTCCAAGTAAGACCCTTACCATAGAAGGGAAAAGTGTAACAGGTCTTATATCTTTTACAAACAAGTTCTCCTATCATCAAAGACCAAGATGTTAAACAACCTTCAACACTTTACTCACTGAAAACTAATTCTTTTTCCAGCATCAGAAGATAATTTTAGATGTCCATTTCTCAACCAGAAATATAATACTGCAATGAGAATTTGTTAGCTCTCTTATTTTTGTATTCTCACATATCTTGAAATAGTTGCCCGAATCAGCTATGAAAAGTTTAACCTATTTAACCAATTAACTTTACATACTTAGGTACATTCACATTCAGAACTTTTCCTTCTGCAGTGACCAATGTCCGAAGAGGCTTCTCTTTCTTTTTTGATTCCCTTAACAAAACAGAAAGAAAAATGGCTTATAATTTCACATTCTGATATTTTATGCGTCATAACAAAAAAGAAAGAACAGAATGGTAAGAAGTAAGAATTATCTGGTATTTGATGTTAAGGATATGACTTATTTCAGGAACAAAACAGGTTATATTAAATGTCTAATTGCACATTAGAAGTATCATCTAAAGATGAGCAAATGCATTTTAATATCACATCTTACATTGATAATTACTCCTTCTGCATGTCATAATGTCCATTACCAAACAGTAATATATCAAATTTATTGGTACATCTTAAGAAATCAGTGGCTTGCTTAAACGTATGAAACAGGACGTTTTTCTATTTATGAATGGTCATACTAATCATGAAGTATCATTACTGTTAACTGAATTAAAAAGCAATTCTGTAAAACATTTTTATTCATGCTAACACTTCCTTTTACTGAACAAATGCTTGGCATATCTCTAAATAGCATGTCTATCAGTCATTATTCTGCACTAGTAAATAGAATTACAATGGTCAAAAGATTACAAGCAGCACCAAATAGGATAGAGTATGACCAAAGTACATACATGGAGATTATTTGTTGATGCATCTATTACATTTTTGTTGTGTTCTTCCTTCAAAAAATACAATACCTATTACTGATGGAGACTGTAATCTTCACTATCTATGTCCAGCTACCAGCAATTAAACTATATCTGACTTTCATTTAGTGCAATAAACAAGCTACCTTAAATTTATCTCCCGAAACAAAGCATATCACTGAAAGACCATTAAGACTTGCAATACTGGTATTTTCCTGTATATAACCCCCCTCTATTTCTCAAAAAGACAACAGCAATACCTTGCTTTTTCTGTTCTCAACTTTCTCATGCTACCTTACAAAAATCTCACAACCAAACCAAAATGAACTGTGGAAGGATTTTTAATTCCTTTAAAATTTCCTTGGAAATTAGAAAAATCCAGAAAGGAATTATTCTATCTTTATTATAAGGCTATTTGGACTCTCCTTGGACTTTTAGAAGGAAGCAATTGGAACATATTTTCTTTTGACTAGAGCAAGGCATCCCCAAACACAACAAAACTCTAACTAGATAGAATCTGGGTTTCACAGTAGTTCTTCTGGGAAAGTGCTAGACCTTGAATTAATAATGGCAGTAATTTATGCAGATTTCCAGATTTTTTAAAGAGTTCCCTAGGACTGACTTTTTCAATACTTAGGTCTGAAAAATCCTTTATAAAGCATGTCCTTAAAAAGAAAAGCTAGAAAAATCACTGGCAAAAATGCTGTTATATAAGCAACAGAAAAAAAAAAAGGGAAAAAAAAGACATTGCTTATGATGTTTGTGGAACTGATAAGTCAGCAGCAATAAAATAACTTTTCTGTTAGCAACTGCATTAATTTTCCATGGTCAGCAAAACCAGTGGCAACTTTAGAAAGTTTTAAAGGCTTTTCAGGGGCTAGACATCTTCAGATTTACCATGCCAAATAGCAAAGATAACATAAAGAATCTTATTACTCAGGATAAATATATTTGACAAAGTGCATGAAAAAAAATTCTAAGACACATAGAAAAGGTGCCTGAAATGCCACTTGTGAAAAAATTTTGTAGTGTGGTCTATAAGTCATTTATGTAATGCAACCTGCACTCTGGATAAATGCTTTTAGCAAGAATATTAAACATTGAACTACACAAAATATATTAGTTAGCTGACAGAAAAGTGAAGCTTCTAAAGTCCATAAAATGGAGTTGAAAAGAGAAATTATATTTAAAAACTTTATTTGAGAAAAATAAAATAAAGGGTATCATAAATATGTTTTAGAAAATGAAACAAAACAAAATGAACAATCTGAACATTTTATTTAGATTTTATAAGCATATTTGCACAGGCAACAGGGATTTAAGTTGCCAGTTCCCTATAATATTTAATGTGAGGCAGTTGCCTTCCTCTACACTGTACCTTTGAAAATTTTCCCTTCATCAAGCCATAGAATATATTAAAACAAAAACATACCTTATATTGTCTTTAGCTCTCCGTTTTTCTTCAATATATCTGTGAGTTTCTAATCTAGACTCTGGAGTATACGGTGTAGGCTCCTCCCAAAATCGTCTGTCTTCATCATCATCTTCAACTGTTCTCCACATTTCTTGTTCTCTATCCCCTTCTGCATGATGGTTTTCTTTGTTCTGTAGGGAGTCTGGGCTACACAAGATCATAGAATCATAGAATCATAGAATTGTCTAGGTTGGAAGAGACCCTTGGGATCATCGAGTCCAACCATCTACCCTACTCTACAAAGTTCTCCCCTACACCATATCCCCCAACACCACATCTAAATGGCTCTTAAACACATCCAGGGATGGTGACTCAACCACCTCCTTGGGCAGCCTATTCCAATGCCCGACCACTCTTTCTGTGAAAAATTCTTTCCTAATGTTCAGTCTAAATCTACCCTGTTGGAGCTTGAAGCCATTCCCTCTTGTTCTGTCATTCCCTGTGAGAAGAGACCAGCACCAACCTCTCTACAGTGTCCTTTCAAATAGCTGTAGAGAGTGATGAGGTCTCCCCTCAGCCTCCTCCTCCTCAAACTAAACAGTCATAACAGATCACATGGAATATTATCCCAATTAAATGAAGGAAAAGTAACAGTACTTGCTAATGAATTCTTGCAATATTTTTTTTAATCCAATATTAATAGCTATATAATTTCTTCCAAGAACAGTATCTTATTGCTTTGGACACATTGCCTGCTCTGCTTCTTTCATCAGTCGGCAAAATATTTCAACATAATGTTTTTCATTGACTTAACTAAGAAGTAATACTATGGTTATGCCTCACCCTCTGAAAACCCTAATAGATAGTTCAACAGATTTAATTTAGGAGCAGAATTTTCAGACAGCCCCACAACATTCAGGTGAAAGAAAACCTTCAGTCCATGTGATGTTTAAGTATTCCCAGTATCAGGCAGCAGCAGATTAGAAATTTATAGAGTAGCAACATTTTACTTAGGCACCTCCTCTGGTGCCATCTTAGAACCTGATTCATTTTTCCCCCTAGCCCTAAGCCTCTCATCTTCAGAATTTCTCTATCAACATAGAGAGAAAACTAAATTTATATTACAGATGTGATCTGTGAGGACAAAGTTTCATAGCCAGCTCCATGGAACTTAGTCTCTATTGTATTAAAAATAAGATTGATGGCAACTGCAGTGAAAGATGACCCCAGACAAAAATCCTTTTGCTATCTAAGTAATTTCAGCAATATAAGGTGGAAGAAATACAGAAATCAACATTCCATAGATTTTTGCATCTCAAAAGATCTGCAATATTCCATTTCAGTCTTCATATCTAATAACTCTAAAGCAAAAGAAATTGTAGGTGAACATCTGCTTTCTCTGGAACCGCTGCATTACCTTAAATAACAATATCCAGCTGTTCTCCTGAAAGAAGCTATCGATTACACTATTTTGGCATCGAGATGATTTAGCTTGGAGTTTTGGGAGAAAAATTCTATCTACCGTCTGCAGGTCAGAAATTAATTATGTTTGTAATTAATTATATTTTTCATTAGAGATAACATGCATGAGGAAAAATAATTCTGCTAGAATCAACAATAAAGACAAACAAAAAGATTTAAGTGGAATTATATAAACTATTTAATGAGGAAAAAATAAAATTCTTAATGAAGAAAGAGACGAATTATGTTTACTCACAAATTGTTGTTGATTACAGTTACCTGTCAAATCCAAGCTTAGATTTCATTTGGTTTTCTTTCTTGTCCTTTCTTTCTTGCATTTTTCTTTGAGCTTCTTCTTTTTCTCTGGCCCGCTTGAGAAGGTAAACTTGTTCCTGTTCTCTGATTTTTTGTTTCACTTCTGCATAATTTTGAAGTGCTTGAATCCTGTCTGAACGTTCTATTTCTTTACTATCCAAACACTTCCCATAGGGAAAAAAACATCAATATAGATATGTGAGAAATTTTAAACATATTCAAATCAATAAATCCATTAAACTGCAAGTTAATTTTGATAACTTTCTCTATAAAATTAAAAAATATGCCTTTCAAACCTCCATAGCACGATATAAGTTATACTGTATTAAAAAGAATTAACAATAAGTTGCTATTCAGATCTGAAAATGGTTTTGTGTGTTGGAGAGTTGCTTTTTGCATTTGCCAGGAATTTCCGTTAGTCTTATTAGACTATGTAGTAGAGAAAACCCCTTCAGCCATTTCTGATATTTGTCTGACCTTGATTCAACCCATGAAATTATTACAAAGTTATCTCTTTTGATGTGTCAGTTTATTGACAGCTAAGTGAGTTGAATATACTCCTAATAAGTTAAGCAAGCGTCTGTGCTTCTCCAAGGGAAATTGTGGGAGTGTATATCAGGACTGTGACTGCCTGTTCCAATGGCAGGAAGTTATAACATCAGAACATCCTTGCACAAAACCTCAATCTCAAAGTATCTATTTACAGTTGATGCGATATAGCGCATTTTTACGTCAATTTCTATCTTTCTACTGCCTTACACTGTTGGCTTGGTACATATTGTTGGCATGGTACCAGCAACCTGGTAACTTTCTGCAATCATGAAAATAATTTAAAAATACATTATATATATAAAAACAAATGAGAAAAATAGCCAAAACTGTATAGAGTATTTATTTTTTCAGAACTTTTTTCAGGGATTTCCAATGAAAATGACAGGAAAAGTTAACAAATGCATGTGGTTCAGTCAAAACAGAACCAATATTTATTACCCCATTATTTACTGTAGTCACTTATTCTTCAGAATAGAATTTAATTCCCTGTGGAGAGTCAGACAAATGCATGTAGTTTTCCTACCACGGGCATTTATTTTCTTTGGGATTAGTATATTCAGTCAACAATGTTGGTTATTGATTTGGATATAAATTTAATTTTTAAAGACTTACTTTTAATTGAGGAAGAGTTGCTACCACATATTGTCTATAACCTTCAAATTCAGTACATGGGTTACCCACTAGAAACAGTTCCTTCAGATGTATATTACATTTTAGGGCTTCAATACTGGAGAGTTCACCAATGAAATTTGCTGTTAAGTCAAGTTTCTTCAGTTCTTCACAGCCTTGTTGAAAAAAACATAATTCAATTTGTCCATAATATAAATGTACAGGTGACATACACACACAGAGACACATGCACACACTTGGATATAAAACTATCTGCATTTGTTTTCTGTATATTAATATCATCCTATCAGAATACATCTTCTCCAAGACACAAGTGAAAGGGTGACTCACAGCCTAAGTTTATGAGATCACAATATTTACAGAAAGAAAAAAAATCTCAGTGAAATACAAAATATCAAAATATTATTGGTTTTATCGCTATCCATATTTTGTGGTCAGTGCTTGTATACTGGATGAGCTATTAAATGTTTCATTTATGGATAAGCTGGACTTCAGTTTTAACAGTCTGGTTGCCTTGGTACCCCTCCTCAACTGTGTCTTCACTGTATGGCTAAAGGAGTGTCAAATTGCCTCAGGAGAGCAGGATCAATTGCGGGTTTCATTTCTGTGTACTGTTAATCTTAGCTAACTTTACTCAAGCGTAAAGATAAAGTTATCTAAAAATTCACTACCACTCAAGATGAGGATTTCCACTCTATGGACAAGGCTATCATTGTAAATACTTTGTCACTGGTTAAATTGCAAACACAAGTCAGAAAATGTTGTTTCTTAACCAAAACTGGTTCATTATAAATAGAAACTCCAAATTAGCTAACAAAATGCTCTGGGAAATCTAGATTCAAAACTGATCAGCCTCTCCTTTTATCATAATTTTTCTATGAATCATAACCTTGACTCTAAGAGTAAAAAGTTTAGCTAAGAGCAAGCTCAACTTCAATGCTCATCATTATAATCACTTCTTTTCCTTTGCAGGTCTATTTGGCAAATATTTTATACGTAATGGAGCTGCAAGAAAATAAACTACTCAAAATGATGTAAGAGGGAATTTAAATAACCCAAATTTTTGCAAGGTTCACTCCCAAAGATGCTCATTCCTAAGTAAATGACAAATCACAGTAATAAACAATACAGCCTGATAGAGGAACTTAAAATTTACTGGCATAAAAACAGATGAAAGTTTCCCAACAAATTGCCAAATACGCAACGCACTGCCTATTTCTTCAACTTTTATAAATTTGTGTGCAGCCTGTTAGCTTATTTTTTTTATTTGATTTAAGCCATCCTCTTAAATCAGCTTGTAGACTTAAAAACAACCCTCCCCCCCAAAAAAAAAAAAAAACAACCAACCAACAAACAAATCAAACCACTTTTTTTTTTTTATTATTTTTCCCTTGTCAAGGTGGACATTTTAAAGATTCAGCAACTAGCCTAATCAGAATCAAGAAAGAGGAAGAAATAAAGTCAGAAATTATTCAAGTAATATGGAATGTGTTTACAGGTGGTTCTAAGTTTTAGATGTTGATCTTGGAAAATGCTAGATCTTTGCACATGCAATTACCTGGAGTACTGTGTCCAGCTCTGGAGCCCTCAACACAGGAAGGACATGAACCTGTTGGAGCAGGTCCAGAGGAGGGCCACTAAAATGATCAGAGGGCTGGAGCACCTCTCCTATGAGGACAGGCTGAGAGAGTTGCGGTTATTCAGCCTGGAGAAGAGAAGGGTCTGGGGAGACCCTATTGTGGCCTTTCAGTACCTAAAGGGAGCTTACAGGAAGGATGGGGACAAATTTTTTAGCAGGGCCTGTTGCAATAGAAAAAGGGGTAATGGCTTTAAACTAGAAGATGGTAGATTCAGACTAGGTATAAGGAAGAATTTTTTTATGATCAGGGTGGAGAAACCCTGGCCCAGGTTGCCCAGAGAGGTGGCAGATGCCCCATCCCTGGAAACATTCCAGGTCAGGTTGGACGGGGCTCTGAGCAACCTGATCTTGTTGAAGATGTCCCTGCTTATGGCAGGGGGGTTGCACTAGGTGGCCTTTAAGGCTCCCTTTCAAACCAAACTGTGACAGTGACATACAGTGACAGGATAAAGGATTAAACACAGAAAAATTGGAGAGAACTTAATGCAATGACAGAGAAAAGAATCATCTGAGAAACTGTTTAAAAATACCCCAGAGTGCCAATGCAACCTGTGCACAGAGTAGAACCTTCCTCTGTGTGACATTTGATTGCTGAAGATGACTGCTGGAACGTTACACAAGAGAGACTTTTTACAGTCTGCACAGCATTAAAAAAAAAAAAAAAAAAAACAAAAAAATCCAAACAAACAAACCCTGCATTCCTCCAGCTAACCTGCATAACAAATTATCTTCTCTTTAGAGTGAGGAAATACCAATTTCATGAAAAATGTGGATTCTTGCTTTGTAAAGTATTGAAGAATAGAGCCATCAGAGCTGGCAACACTGGTGAGAGAATATGCAAAAAGCGAGTTAAAATACATACAAGGAAGTTCAATAACAAAATTGCACCAGTCAGAAGCATTTGCTACAAAGAAGCATTTGTTGAAACCCTGCACACAAAAAAGCTTTTTCTGAGAATCAACAAAGTATCTTTACTGGTGGACATACTTAAAGGCTTCCCCTGTCTTACACTAAGTCACAACTTAAGTGTTTCAATATGAAAAGGCAAAACGGTTTGTTTAAAATCTGACCTTCCAGATTTTCAATTCTTTCAATGTTGTTCAAAGCTACATTTAAATATTCCAGCTTCTTTAGTTTGCCCACATTTTCTGTAACAAAACATAGATGTGTTATTTCAGTTTTCTTCATTGAAAAGGGCATTATCTTTTTACTTGCTTACTTGACTTCAAAGAAACAATAAATTAGAAAAAAAGAAAGTACAAATCAGAATTTGTATCATATTACTGGGCATTAATGATTTATTATTAATAAAAGGACAAAACCAAAAAGTTCTCTGAAACACAAATTAAAATAAAAAGATTGTAAAAAGAAATAACAAAGGTTATCAACTCATTTTTTATCACAAATACATAAAACACCTATACAATGCAAGAGGACTGGCCAAAAAGCATAGTGAAACATTCGATTTGTCATGAAACTCAGAAAGGATCAGGCCATACTTAGTCGAGCTTTATAAAATTAAAGTTTTACACTCACTTATATATAAAAGATTGGCTTCTTTAGTAGATATTTAATTGCTGAAAATCTTTTTATCTACAGGGTTAACACAAGAAACCCTCTCTCCTCCCTTTTTAGAAAGTTTGCAAATAAGGAATTCTATGGCTTCAGTATGAACAAAAAAAATCCCCCCCGCCCCCC